GATTTTTTCCCACATTGTGGGTTGTCTTTTCACACTGCTGGTGGTTTCTCTTGCTGTGCAGAAGCCTTTTAGTAAGAAGAGATCCCACTTGTTGATTGTTTGTGCTAGTTCACGGGCAACTGAGGTTTTGTTCATAAAATCTTTTCCTACACCGATGCAGGAGCAGGTATCTTAAGATCTATTTAAACAAGCTGTGAGACTGATTTAGAAACAAAAAACATGTTTACGAAGTTGGCAGATCAGGCACCCTTGTGTTAGAGACCGGTCCAGCAGGTATTTATTTCAGCAACAAGATCTTGCCTCCCACACTGCCCCCTACCTCCAGGGGAGGCTTGGAGCCAATCCATCAGAGACTCGGAACTCAAATCATCCAACCTGGAATCACAGGGTACAAGACACTTAGAGGTGGCAGCTTCATAGAGATAGAAAGTGGGTGGTGGTTGACAGGGCCTGGGGGGAGGGGAGGATGCAGAGTTCTTGTTGGGAAAGAGTTTGAGCCTGGTTTCTTTCTCTTAGCGTAATGCCCTCAAGGCTCAACCGTGTTGTCCTGTGTGCCAGATTCTCCTTTTTCAAGGCTGAAGAATAGTGCCTTGTGTGTACAGACCATGTTGTGTATATCCATTCATCTATGGATGGGCACTGAGCATCTTGTTATTCGGATATAAGATTCACGTAGAAAAGTGCACATTTTATAAGTGTACAGCCAATCATTTTTCACAAATGCCCATGAAACTGTACCTAGATCAAGTACCAGCCCCTCAGCCCCTTCATGTCTCCTTCCAGACACAACCCCCACTCCCGCTCCCACCTGCCACCTCCACTCCAAGGGCAATCCCCTACTCTCGTATCACAGCATGGGTGCTTTTCCCCGTTTTGGTGTTCTATTTAAATGGAGTAATCATACAATATGCACTGGTCTTCATCTGAGTGATTTTGTCCTATTTGTTTCCAGTTTATTTAATGCCCCTGCCTGTTTATTTGATGTATATGTATACATACCTATATACACACACATAGAGTGTGTGCATGTGTGTTCTTATTGTCCTGTGATCTTCTGTTGTGTGAATATATCCTAATTGCTGTATCCATTCTACATGTGTGGGAATTTGAGCAGTTTCTGGTTTTGGTGTCTCACACATTGTGCTGCTCTGAACATTGCTGCAAACGTGTTTGGGGAATCTGAGGGTGCATTTCTGTTAGTCATTACTCAGGAGTAGCATGAGTTCGAGTCACTTGTCTGTGGTGCACTTAGTAGTCTAACGTGGTCTTGTCGGTTCACACTCCGTCCTGTGAGAGGAATTGGTTTTTATGTCTGCTCCTCCCTAACCCTTGGTAATTTCTTACATCTTTTAGAGCAGCTACTTACTAAAGTTTGTGGTGGTGATGTGTAGGGGGAGCTGAGGAAGAAACATCCTGTGGGCCTTTGCACCCCTGCCCCTCCAGGAAAGGACACTTCTGATCAGCTCTGGGAGGGAGGGGATGTTTAAAGACTTCTTCTCCCTTGGCTCTTGGCCCATTTTGTAAACCCAGGAGTTCACCAGCTCCTGGTGGACCGGTGGACCTGTGGCTCTCTTGAGCGTTAATGGGCCAGTTGCTCTCTTGGCCTGGGACACATCAGAGACTGAAGCACTTTCTTTTCATTTTCAGAGGCGAATCCTCGATGGAAGCCTTGGCTTTGCTGCAGGGGTAAGTTGTGTGTAGGAGGAGAAATGTCAATGGAGATGCATTTCTTTTGACATTTCTCTGCTAAGCATCATCTCCAGTCTCTTCCCATGTCACCTAGATACATCTCTGGATTCTCTAAGTGCTAATGGTTTCCCATATTCATTGCCCAGCTTATCGGATGCTCTGCTTCTCATTAGATGGTGAGGGAGGAAGCTTGTGTGGTAGCTGTCTCAGGACTTAGAAAATAAGATGATATTTAGGAAGGGCCTAATGGGCCTGGCAGATACACAGTTGGCAGTAAATATTTTCTCCCTCTCCTCTTTTTCCTTGTTAAGGGACTTTTTATTATAAACATTTTCAAACATGAAAAAAAAAACACCGAAAAAACCTATATGCATCCCAGGTGCCCACTACCCTACGTCGGTCATGACCCACAGTCACTTCACCTGTCTTCTTCCAGCCTTTCTTGGAAGTTGGAATATTTTGTACCAACAAATTCCAGATATAATGTAATTTTGCCTGTAAGTTCAGTATACACCTCTAACTGAATGACTTTAAAAAAAAAAACCCACAATCACCAATACCATTATTACACCTACTAAAATTAACAGTAATTTCTTATTATAAACTAACACCCAATCCATTTTCAGATTTCCTCCATTTTTTCCAAAGTGTCCTCTGAGATTGTTTCAGTAGAATTGGGATCCAAACAAAATGCTGAATTCATTGCCTTTTAAGTCTTTTATTCTTCAGCAGTCCCATTTTTTTTCACAATAGTAATTTGTTGGTAAAACTGAGTGGGTCATTTGTTTCTAGAATGTTCCACATTCTGAATTTGGCCAGTTGCTTCCTTGTGTTGTATAACTTTCTCCTTAGTCCCGCCTGTCTCCTGTAAGTTGGGAGTCAGACCTCAGCTTGATTAATTCAGATTTCACTATGAATCTGTCATAGTGATGCTGAGTATTCCAGTGGCATTGGTGACATTGGAGGGTACATAATACATGGTTTTCCCTTTTAGTTGATCAAGGTTTGGTTCCTTTGTGCTATTTTTATAGTCCTGTGACTGGAAGAGCTTGTCTGGGGGTGGACCTCCCTGAGGTCATCCAAGTCCGCAGCTAGCAGAGGAGGGCTTGTCCTTAGAAAACACAGAAGCTTTGTGAGCTCTGCCCAGGTGTGCTGAGAGCCATAGCTAATCAGCATCCAGATCCCAGCTTCTCTGTTTTACTTCCTCATGGCTGGAACACAGTACCTGACACCAACTGAAAAGAAGAGAAGTTTGGTTTATCTTGGCTAACATTTTGGACGTTTCAGTCCTTGCAGAGTAGACAAGCATGGTGAAAGAGCCTGGGTGAGGAAAGCTTCTCCCCTCATGGCAAACAGGAAGCAACACATCAAGGGAGGACCCAGGAAGGCTGATCTACCCTTCTGGGCCACACCCACGGTGACCTGACTCTTCCATCCAGTCTCAGCTCCTAACAGCAAGTCAGCTACTATGGCCCCTAAGCCCGTCACCTTCCAAACACTTGAGGTTTTGGGAGTTATTTTCGATCAAAGCCATAACACCTGTGTTCTCCTTCCTAAAACCGCTGTGTCTGAGGACGTGCTGGAAGCAGCCTTCTTTTCCTCCTTTTTCTTGCACAGGTTCTTCCTCACCCAAAAGAGGCAGGCTCTTGTCTTGTCACCCTGTCTCTAGCTAGCAGCACCTCCAAGCCTGAATAGAGGGCCACTTAACACATTGGTGCTAGTGTGGGGAAAACAAGCGAAGAACTCTAATCACTAATCACTGGACTTAGATCCTTTAGCAGTTTAGCTATTGTCCTGATCTTTAAAAATGGGTCTAATCAAACGGTCAGTGGTGAGATTCTTAAAAGTAATTTTCCATGATGGACCACTTTGGGATTTGGAGCTGGTTACTCAGTGAAAATTCAAAGGACAGAATGACAATATTAGAACATCTCTTTTCCTTTTTTTCTCCCAACTTCTCATTTCATGAACACATTTTCTCTTTGCTTGGGTTAAGAAAGAGAAGAGAGGGCCGGGGATTTAGCTCAGTGGTTTCTCCGCCTGCTGCGCAAGCGCAAGGACCTGAGTTCGATCCCCGGTACCGAAAAAAAAAAAAAAGAGAAGAGAACCCAAAGAAAAATAGAAATAAAACTTCTTTTAATAATGAATACTTAATAATTATTCACAGATATGTGAATGAATGAAAAAGATAAGAAAGGCCCATCATTAACATATGCATTTCCAAGAGTACTTAACTTTTTAATGTTTAATAATTACAAGAAGTTATATTCGTTGTTGTTATGAATCTCTTCTCTATTAGTTATAGGTGTAATAATAAGTCAGTCCAGGAAATTGTTTTAAAAGCATAGAGCCTTAGGCTCACAGGAAACTTAAAAAAAATTAAATTGCAATATGTATCGATACTCATGGGGCAGAGAAGTATGATAAAGTAATAAATTATAAATTTTATAGTATAAAATACAAGTTGGTTTAGGATAGGATTCTGAAATTGAAATACAAGTCAAGAACAAAAAAGGAATGATGTAAATTGCTGGCTTCAGTGAAGAATTTGATTTTGGTATGCCTTTGTGTGTGTGTGTTTAGGGAGACTATAAAACATAAACGTCTACCTGAATAAAACAAAGACACACTGCATAGTTTATACACTATGTTTTTAGATGGCTAATTATGTGAATAAAATGTATATGCTATATAGATCCTATTAGGTTTATTTAAAAAACTGCTGAAACAGTTTTGTTTGTTTGTTTTGTTTATTTTTGCAGTTCTGTGGAATCAAACCCAGGGCCCTGTATATGTTAGGCAAGTGCTCTATTCCGGAAGTTATACCCAAGCCCCGATGAAACAGTTTTATTGAAACAAATCAGTATATTTCCACTATCATATGGGAAACATTTTAAATGTCAACTTGCAAATGATTGGTGAGGTACCTGGTTTTTCAGCATTCCTACAGGGGGTACAGAAATGTGAAGACTGAAGAACCCTAGTCTTTGCTGCCTTCTGCTTCTGGCCAAGCATTTGGGTGTCTTGCTCAGTGTTTTGTTTTTTTTAGGTCGATGGCTAACTGCAGGATTCACATACAAAAGATAAGAAAAGAAAAGAAGCAAACCAACAAAAAGAGATAGCATTAAAATATGAACATGTAAGGTGCACTTTCCTTAAAAAATCCTAAGACCAGTAGATTAGCATGTTTATTTAACTATAAGGATCTAAAATACTTTTACTTCTGATGTTTAAAGTAGTTGGTAGAAAAAAAGGATTCTAGAAGGTATGGATGTATATTTGTCAGAAAATAAGTCATTTTCTTTTCTAGAATTGACCTTGAATGTGCTAGTTACATAGAGGAGCTCCTGGCAGGACCCAACATACACAGGGAAGAATGAAACCATAATGTAGAAAATAGCTGGAACTCAAACCAAGTGAATTTCAGTGGCATTGATGACTAGAACTGGATTCTTACACGTGCTTCCCCAAACTAGGGACAGACAATAGAGACATTCCTCGTTTAAAGACCAAGTTCTATTCCTGTGCCTAGGTCAGTAAATGAATTTGTTGGTCGCCAAGTGAGAAATCGTATATTGTAATTGTACATGACAATATTCAGAACAAAGACATGGTCAAAAGAAATTCCAACTTGATGACTTTGCTTTTATTTGTATAACTCTTACATTCAGTACTATAATGTATGACAGAATACAAAACTACAGTACTGCACCATACAGTACAATCAGCAAAAATTACAGTACTGTGTAAACCAGGTGTACTGTACAAAAAAGACTTTGAGGCTGCATGAACAAGATGCACAGAACTGTACAAAAAAATGGGTTGTAAGTCTGAATGGTGGGTTTTAAGTCCAAACAGTGTGCCTTGGTCTTAAGTCCAAATAGTTGTTAAACAGGTAGGTCATTAAACAAGGACTACGTAGCCCAGGTGGCCTGAGCAGTAATAATTGCCTGAACTTATCAAGGAATGATTTATACATAATATGGCTGATTCATCAACTGGAGCAGTGGTTCCCAACCAGGGGCAGTTTTGCCCCCAGAGGACAGTTGTGTCTTTTAGCTGTCTCAGCTGTGTCTAGAGGGTAGAGGCTTAGGTGCTCTTAAGCATCCTGTGATGCACAGGACAGGATGCATCACAAGCAAAGAACACACTAGGTGTTGGTAGTGCTGAGGCCCAGAAATCCTAATCTAGAGCACTTTGGTGTTATCACTTGTAGTCATTGGAAGGTGTTAAATTTTCAGGTGTAATGTTAAAAAAACCCACAAAGTCCTCTAGCCTATCCCCTTTGCATCCTGGAGATCCCCACTGTTTCCCCTGAATATGTGAAGAATGTTGTTTCATTATGCACGTACAAAGTGTAAGGACAGTTGAGGTGCAGTGGTGCCTGGTCTCCTAAAAAGATTGCTTCCTGGGTTTATCAACTTTTTATTACTGTGAAAAAGTACTTGAGATGAATAGTTTAAAGGAGGAAAAGTTTTTTTTGGTTTCAGAGGTTTCAGAGGCTCTCAGCTCATGGTTTCAGTCCATGGTCAGTTGGCTCCATTGTTTTTAATGGAGAGGCAAAAATGTCATGGTGGAAAAGTGTGGCAGAGGAAAGCTGCTCACCTCATGACAGTCAGAAAGCAGAATGAGAAAGCCAGAGAAGAAGGAGCCAGGGGTCAGGTATATTCTCCAAGGTCACATTCCCATCATCCACTCTCTTCAAGTAGGCCTCACTCCTCTTTCCATCATCTCCCAATAATGCCGTCAAATTACAGTCTCAATAGTGGATCAGTTCATTTGATGAAGTTAGTTCCCTCAAGATCCAATCACTTCTCCAAAAGTCCATCAGCTGGCAGTATGAGTTTTGGGGGATATTTCAAATCCAAACCATCACACTTCCTCAACCCAACCCTGCAATGCTTTGAGTAAATATCTTGAAGAAGAAAACTGGCTCTGAGCTAGTTGACCAGGTCTCCCGTCCCTTGCACAGACATCTGTGCAGTGTTCCTAACCTG